CCTCCCTGTTTCTTTCTTCTCCCCCTCCCTCCCTCTCTTTTTTCTTCTCCCCCTCCCTCCCTCCCTCTCTTTTTTCTTCTCCCCCTTTCCTCCCTCTTTCCTCCCCTACCTGTGTGGTAGTGTGGCCGAGCCCAGTATAGTCCGACCGGTACAGGGAGCTGTTGTTTCCTGTACCCGGCCGGACTAACAGGAAGTGAACACTCAGTGTGCACTTCCTGTTAGTCCGGCCGGTTACAGGAGACAGCTGCTCTCTGTACCGGTCGGACCATGCCATAGAGGGCTCGGCCACGCTACAGAGAGGGAGCTGACAGGTGAGAGCGCTGAGCGCTTCCCTCCTGTCAGCCTCTCCTCAGGCTGCGCCCGGGCGGTGCGGTCCGCCCTCTTGGACGCACCGCCCGGGCAATGCTGCAGCCGCCTGAGGCTCTTTACAGAGTGCTCGGGCGGCTGCATAATGAGCGGGGCCGGCGCTCCTGGCGGCGCCCCCTCCCAAGGGGCGCCCTAGGCGGCTGCCTAGTCCGCCTTACAGGTAGCGCCGGCCCTGGGGATAGCTGATCTGGATATTTTTTCCAGTTTAGCTATTTTGGCCTTACATTTGAAACTCACTTTGATTTCCTGTCAATTTAGTTAATAACCCTCAGAGCCAGATAAGATTTCTCAGGGCCCAAGACAGGATGCCAGATTGGGGCTATGTTTTGTGAATGGGAGCGTCTGAATGTTGTAGGTCTGTGTTATGTGTGTGAGAATGTGAAGAACGTAAACCCATTTGAGCGAGTTCCTCAACACCCTCTGTTCCTGTGCGTCCAACTAGTCTTGTTACAAATACTTGTCAACCAATTGTACAGCACTGCAGAGTTTGTTGGAGCTTTATAAATAAAAATAGTGGCTGAGTGTTGTGTGTGTGTGTGTGTGTGGATGAGAACTGTATTTGGGGGGTAGGATGAGTGTGTCTATATGTGCTGATTGAGTATTGTGTGTGTGGAGATGAGTCCAAGTGTGGCTTTGTGTTGTGTGTGGTGGCTGAGTGTTGCAGGTGTTGTGGTGAAGGAGGTTGATAGTGTGGGGAGAAGTTTATTTTTCCTATATGCACTCCTGCTTACCTTATGGCAGGAGAGTCTGTTGTTATCCCTGGTGGTCCATTGAAGCGCACTCTCAGGGATGCAAACGCCAGTCCACCTCACAATTCTTGAGAAAGGGGGATTGTCCGAGAGAGGTGTGGCTGGGGGGTGAACAAGGACAGGGTAGAACACTAAATGCAATGTAGAGAGGCGGGATGGGAAACAGTGGGCTGCATTAAAGGAAGAAGAGGCTTTATCGACTATACTACAGACTTCTCTTTGCAGACGTGCTCACAGAGTGTAGAAGCTCAATGTCATGTTTATAGGCCAAGCTTGAGATAAACAATGGATAGACTATTAAGGGATGCAATGGTCAAAAAGAAAACTAAGGTAGTCTGAGGCACTGAAATGATGCATATTTGGTAATAAGGGGCCTAATGGGTGCCAAGAAATTTTTCTCACACCATTACACCACCACCAGCAGCGGCCTAAGCAATTGACATAAGTTAAAATGGATCCATGTAGTTTATGTAAAAATGTAATTGTGACGAAGTGCCCTTCGCCACTTGTGCCTGGAGAGGACTAATTGCCAGCCTCTTGCCTTGTGACTATGGCCCCTGGGAAGTATTGCCATTTCAAAAGTCTGTTTGGGCTTATTGTACTTTGGGACACTTTTTCTGCCCCTTTGAATCCATGGGAAGGTGTGCCTCTTCCCCTCCCCCATTTCCTGTTCCATTGCTCTCCAGAAGTTATGTATTTTAATGTGCTTTGTTGCAGATGTAACTTGGTGATATTTTCTGTACCTTGAGATAATTGAGTTTACTACAGTTACTTAAGCCAATTATCTCCAGGATAGAGGAGAAAATAGACTGACCGCACAGCCCAAATCTATGGAACTCTTTTGAGCAGGAAAGCCATGCTTGCGGTCGGTCAAATAGGACTTCCACCTAACTTCTAAACCACAGGAGGGAATTGTATGATTTTTGAGTATGTTTGTATATGGAGTATGCTGATTCAGAATATGTATGATTTTATGGAGATTGTATGTATATTATGGGAGTTATGAATATTGTATGAAACTGTATATTTTCCTGCCTGTGATAATTAAGCTAACCCATTGTGTACAGTAATTATATCACAGGCAGAGGGGAGGGTTTGTGTGTCCTAACTGGGAGTGTCTGACTGTATTGTGTTTGATTGGCTGTTCCACAAGACCACGTGGGTGGTAACCTTGTGAGAAAAGTTGCATATAAGACAACCCTCAAACTGCTGAGATTCCTGCTTAACCCTCAATACAGAGCCTGGTCTCTTACTTGGGGGGGATTATTTGTGTGTTTTCCTATTCGGTGCTTAGGAGTATTCGGTAGCTGACCTTGTATTTGGGAAGGGAACATCTTTGGCGGCGTTACCCCTTCTATACCTGGGGTGCCGTTAGAGTAATCTTATTTCCTGGTCACAGCAGAAATCAAGCTTTGTCAGTGCAGTCAATTTTATTTCCAATCCTCTGCTGTCTATTTTTGGGACACCTCAGCCCAGTTCCTAGTTGACATATGTGGAACATAGAGTGGTCTAGTGCTGTAACGAATCCCTCCACTTCAACATATTGTACTCTCAAAGAAACACTACTGTAAGCATCAATAAATATGGCTCCTCTAAACCTTCTCACCCAGAGAACTGATTTACTGGATTTATGTTTTTAAACTATACTCTGTAAACTCTAGAAACTGGCGTGTGTTAAAATTACAAGAGACCAGCAGATTCCGAGTTAATAAAAGTACATCAAACACCAACAATCATTTCACAGTCATGGTCACTTAAATCATATTTTTCAATTTTTCAAAATTCTGCTGGTTGTTTGTTGAACTGAACCTTTTGTCCATAGCTGCATGTCTATATGAACTGAGGTGTCATGACAAGGTTTGTTTAACTTCTTAAGAATGCATGGTACCATCACAGAAGTCCTTCTCTTTTCTCTAATTCCATCATGTTGTATTTTACCAACATGGATTGTTTCCCTGTTGGTAGAAGGTGAACCCACGTATGGTTAGATACCCTGGGCTCCTCTCTGTCCCCATGCTGACCAATGAGCTACATACAGCCCCTTAAATAAGATTTAAATCCTCAGTAGCTACAACTTGCTGTGAGCAGGGTTAAATCCCTGCTCACACCAGAGGGACCGAAGTATCAATTGATACCCAGGACTTCCCTTTGTCAGCTGGGGCCATATTTAGTGGTTTCAGACTTACTGATGAGCTGTATGCAGCACTTAAAGTGAGCTCTGCGTACTGCCTTTTAAGCGGGTAATTTAAATCCTCTGGCTTGAAAGTTTGATGTGAACAAGTTATCTCTCTACTCACACCAAGGAGACCCAGATACCAATAAATATATAAATGTATATTTCATAGCCCCAGGCTGACAGATGAGCTGTATGAAGCACTGAAAGTGAGTGCTTCACACAGCCCATCATAGTCACTGTGGCTCACTGCGGATCATGCTCAGCGGCAGTGATACTGAACTCCTTGTATGCCCCCCTGACGATTGTGATAGGTGCTGGACAGCTGGCGAAATCTGATCGTAGTGTGATCAGCAGAGGAGTCTAAAGGGAAACTATAGGCACCTAGATCACTTATTAAAAAAAACCTGGGTGCAATGTCCCTGTCCCCTTAACCCCGCAATTGTAATTATTGCAGTTTTAGAGAAACTGGGAGCTATATTGCCAGGAATACAGCTTTAGATTCCTAGCAATATAGTATCTGTGATGGACCGTCTGGCACCCCGACTGGGTACCTCCGTCAATCGCTGCTTTCTAGTAATCCTTGAGTACCATAAGCACCGCATCGGACACCATAAACACCGTAAACCCCACAAACCGCGGAAGCTTGGTTGGGATCTCGCTGTCCTCCACCCATCCTGGACCCAAGACCAGGATCCAGCTTCCAGTGGGTAGACCTCTCATAGTCCAGAGAGCGAAGCAGGCTGCTCTTAGAAGAGCAATCGTTGTGATTCAAGGGAGTATAGTGAATATAGCAATCCTCAGAGTGAATATAGCTCTCGAATCCCCCAAACATGAGCCTAGACTTCATGAAGGGTAAAACTAAACCTGTTAAATGGAAGCCACAACTGGCCTTATATGCAGGTCCCCATGCAAGGAGCACTCCTCCCTGGACCTGAAAGTAGACTACAGTAAAAATATACACACAATTAAATTGGCTCTCAGGTCCAGGACACTCCCATACAAAACAGGTCAATCCCTCCCCTATGCCTGGGAGATAATTGAGTCAGCACTGTTTTTAACTCCAATTATTTCCAGGCACAGAAAACATAAATTTTTACAAAACCCCCAAAATACCTTAAAACACACAAAATCCCCACAAAGGTTATATCCCCTGTAGCCCTGATCTGGGTGACCAACATATCCAAAAATCACCCAGATCAGTTCATGGGTTCAAGAATTTCCTGGAAGTCATTATTTTGACCAACCGCATGCATGAACCCATGCCCAAAACAGTTCCAGAGAATCACGGCTAAGTGCCACTGGGGACCGACCGGGAACCACGAAGTCTTCATACTGAAAATAGTTCCATAGAATCGCGGCTAAGTACCGTTGGGGACTGATCGGGAGCCGCGCACTCTTCATGCTGAAATTAGTTCTAGGGCATTCGCGGCTACGTCCCCCTGAAGTCTATTCACGGTTTTGGT